GTTTGACGCAACGGAAATGGAATTCTTCTAGACGGTAGCGCAATTGGTACTGTGTTTGGTTGTATCTTGATGATGGCTTCCTGTAATTTTATTTGTCCTAATTTTTTTTAAAAAACTTGCGGAAATTTTGAAATAATAGTATTTAAACTGGAAAAGTTCATATTTATATTATTAATTCGAACTTCTTCAGGAAGTTTTATATCAAATTCTCTAAGAAAGGTCATTCCAATAATAAGGGAATTCTCACCTTTAACTACCCAAATAGGTAAAATTTTGAAATATTCTTTACTTCAACTTCTACTAAACATTTACTCATTACTTCGATCTTGATATGGTTATATCCCACTAATTTATAAGCAGGTGATAATGATAGATTGCCTATGCGACTCCAGGTAACCTCATCTATCACACTACATGCCGCACCGGTATCAAATTCCATAGTAAGCTGCAGCCCATTTATCTTCGCATCGATTGTAGCCTTATTAGCAAAAGACAAGCGAGGTGTCCTTTGGTAAAATCTTTAGTATAGCATGCGTTCTACACTCTTCGCTATGTAGTTCCGCACCTAAAGCATATTACCTTTTTTGGCTGAAATTAGGTAAACTTGATTTATAATTATTATGATTGAATTTGTTAGCATTATAATAATAATTATTATTGAATTTATAACCTTATTATAATTATTATTTCTAAAATATGTATTTTTGGAACTTTGCGTAGGCTTTTTTAATCATTTTATTAACTTCTCCCAGGGTTCCTTCTCCAATGAAGATAGCGCGATTGCTAAACGCACAGTATCCTCAAAAGTAATATTTCCTTCGGTATATTTTGACCAAAGTTCTTTGTCCAGCTCAGGCAACTTTACTTTTAAGATAAAATGTCTGTTAAGAGTTCACCAACCGGCGATTTAAAATACATAAGAGCAAATACTTTTCAATTTGAATAAAGATAATAGTGTAACTGCTTCTTATGTATAAAAATTTAGCGATGTAAAAAAATATTCGAAAAATCTAATATTTTTTCTAAATTGTCAAGTAAAATTGGATAATTTATGTTATCTTGGTAATTAGGAAAGTAAAAATTTTAAATTTTAATTAAATTATCAGTGCCTATTAAGGCTAATTAAATCTTTTTTTATTTTGATTAACAATATTTTTTACTTTGAAAATGAGTTCCATATTATATAGGTAATCCTGAATATTAAGTTTTTCTTTGACGAATTCTGGAATATGAAATTGAGTAGGTGTTGATGTTTCTTCGTTTTTCTTTGAGAATATCTTCTTTGAGTCTTCGTTGGGCATAATATAATTTTAACCTTTATATTTAATACATCTCTAAAAGAAAATAACTCATCGCCAAATGAAATGTTTGATAAAATAGTATTTATTTAAGTATAAAATATATTATATGTTTGAAATAAGAAAATATATACCCATATATACTTTTACAAATTTTTTTTATCTATTTAATCTATTACAATAAATTGGCTTAAACCCAAATATAAAAAATACAATTTATGTTTATTTTAATAAACTCTTTTTTAAGCATAAAATTTATTAAAATTGTGGTATTTTACCCGATGTCATTATTCAAAGGTATTTTTCCCGGTATCTTTGCCCATGGGTAATTTTATTCGACAATATTTTTGTCCAGGGTATATTTCCTCGGGTTTTTTTTATCCAGAATATTTAGTTTAGGATGTGTCTAAAGTGTTTAGTTTAGAGAAACCTAGTAACACAACTGTTATTAATCGCTGTTTATTATATAGGCAATATAAAGATTTATAAAACTTCAAAATTTAAAAAAGTTAATTATATTTTTAAATGAAATTAAAATTATAATATGGTTATTTTTTTATTGCCATAGATATGGATAATATTATAACCGAAATTGAAATAAATAATGATCGCAATCCCTGCATAATTATAGTAAAATAACGTATATAATATATCGTATGTTAGTAAAATATTGGATCCAATATTATTTTGATACGTTTCACTCCTTATATTTTTCTGCATTTTTCTGTCAGAATTGTTTTTATTTTTTATAAAGTATAGATAAAAACCTATCATTAATCAGTTTGATAATTATTTTAATCAGTAATAGTGAAATAAATGGTTAGTTAAGATTTGTTTTTTTAAATTATATTTTGCTCCTAAAATAAAAGTATTAAAGTGGCATGTTATGTGGGTCGTTTTTTTGTGTTAAATTGTAAATTCATTCATTTTTGGGTTTTTTTGATTATCTTGCGCAATCATTCTTTTAATATATTATTATTCTTTGTAAAAGAAATAAAAAAGAGTAATTATAAAAATTGTTTATGTCATATGTTTTGAAATTAATTAGATTATTTATTTATTTGTAATAGATATAAAAAGAGTAAAAATTGAAAAAATGATTATTATTTTTGCTTCCTTCACAAAGCTAGAACCATAATTAAGATCAGCAAAGCTTATTTGAAAAGGATGACAATCACCGTCATTAAGTATATTCACTATAAACAAGCTTACCTCACAAACCTATACCTATCCCCCTAAAAATTCATATTTTTAATTGCAGTGGTACTCCCTTTATATATTTTCAAAAGAATAACTTAAATTAGCAAAACTCTGTAACCAACTATCAAAGATTTGTGAATATAAAGTTTTACGTTTTAGAACATTTACAAAAAACCCTCATTTACAATAAACGCAATATTATAGTATATTGTTCGGAATGAATATGAGTTAGCTAATATCAGGTCCCATTTAAAAGTTAGCAGAATATTATACAGAAAAGGATTTTTTTGAAAATCAATATATTATCTACAAAAATGTAATGGATAACATTCTAAACAATTATACCCTACTCCCTAATTAATCCCCCCCCCTTCCCCCGCTGATATTGACCACGGTGGTAATATCTTTATGGAAATCCAAATGAACAAAACCTAACAGGGGAAGTGTTAAGTTAACTACTGGAAGGACAAAAATTTTGAAAGTTGGAAAAGCGACAGGACAGGACCGACTGTGGCATTTAAATTTTAAGGGAATGAATAGTTAATATTCACATAAATATAGTAAGGAATAATGAAAAAAGATAAAATAATATTTAGATTTTTATTTTATGTTATTAATAAATTATTGTTGTTAAATCTTTATTCTTTTAATTCGCGAATTTTGATCGGTCATAGTTTAACTTAATAAAAATTCTTTGCACTCCGGCAATCAGATGAGTTGATAAATAAATGAAAAATCAAATTATTTTCTGCCCCGCTCTTTTTCTTAAAGCCTATGGAGGTCTGTAACATTTTTCGAAATGTTGCGCGTTCAAGTACGTGTGGCTTGCGCACAATCGTGTAGAGGGTAGACGACTAAATAATAGTTTTAGTCGAAAAATTCGACTAAAAACTTTAGCAACTAAATTAGTCTATTAGTTGACTAATTTGGTCGACTAATTTAGTCGACTAAAACGATTAATATAGTCGACTAAAGCGGCTAATTTATTCGACTAAAACGACTAATATAGTCGACTAAAGCAATCGACTAAAACGACTTTAGATTAATTTAGTGGACTAAAAGAACTAATTAAGTCAACTAAAATTACTAATTAAGTGACTAAATTAAGTCATAATCATTATTTTTGAACTTTTTTTAAATTTTTTAGGTAAAAATATATGTTGTAAAGATGTAAAAATAAAATTTCAGTGAAGATGTACCATCATAGAAAAATTTAACAAAATCGTTATTTTTGAAAAGTAAATAGGTGAAAATTTATATATTATAAATGTGTTATAATAAAATTTCAGTGAAGATGTACCATATAAAAGTGACAATTGTCATAATCGTTATTTGTGAACTTTTTTGAATTTATTTAAAACAAATAGGTAAAAATATATATTGTAAAGATGTTAAAATAAAATTTCAGTGAGGATGTACTATAGAAGAGTGACAATTGTCATAATCGTTGTTTTTTAACTTTTTTAATTTTTTTTAAAGTAATTAGGTAAAAATATATATTATTAAAATAAAATTTCAGTGAGGATATAGCATAGAAAAGTGACAATTGTCATAATAGTTATTTTTGAACTTTTTTGAATTTTTCCAAAGCAAATAGGTAAAAATATATATTGTAAAGATGTTAAAATAAAATTTCAGTGAAGATGTACCATAGAAGAGTGACAATTGAATCGTTATTTTTTAACTTTTTTTAATTTTTTTAAAGTTAGGTAAAAATATATATTGTAAAGATGTTAAAATAAAATTTCAGTGAAGATGTACCATAGAAGAGTGACAATTGAATCGTAAATTTTTAACTTTTTTTAATTTTTTTAAAGTTAGATAAAAATATATATTGTAAAGATATTAAAATAAAATTTCAGTGAAGATGTACCATAGAAGAGTGACAATTGAATCGTTATTTTTTAACTTTTTTTAATTTTTTTAAAGTTAGGTAAAAATATATATTGTAAAGATGTTAAAATAAAATTTCAGTGAAGATGTACCATAGAAAAGTGACAATTGTCATAATCATTATTTTTTAACTTTTTTGAATTTTTTTAAAGTATAAATAGGTAAAAATATATATTGTAAAGATGTTAAAATAAAATTTCAGTGAAGATGTACCATAGAAATGTGACAATTGTCATAATCGTTATTTTTTATCTTTTTTTAAAGTAAATAGGTAAAAATATATATTGTAAAAATGTTAAAATAAAATTTCAATGAAGATTTACCATAGAAAAGTGACAATTGTCATAATCATTATTTTTTAACTTTTTTGAATTTTTTTAAAGTAAATAGGTAAAAATATATATTGTAAAGATGTTAAAATAAAATTTCAGTGAAGATGTACCATTCCCCGAATACTACGGTGCCCCCTTGGCCGATTACATAATCCATCAAAGAGGAAGGAACAAAAAGGATGATTAGGAATTAAAATCTAAAATTATACCGCTACTAGAACATAATAATGGATTGACGATAAAAAATATAGTGGAAAATTTACCACCTCATCTCAAAATGAGTGATTCGGGAATATCTAGATGCCTTAAATCAATGGGATGGAGCAGGAAAAGGATTGGAAAAGAACCCGATAGACGGAATTCTCCAGATGTTATAAATATTCGTAAAGAATATTGCCTAAATATGATGAACGTGCCATTTCAAAATATATTCTATTTAGATGAAACAGGCTTCAATTCCCACGTCATTTCCCACTGTAGATGGGCACCTCTGGGAAAGAGGCCATCCGTCAAACTCCCTTCAAAGGGGAAAAAAGTATCGGTTTTATGCACCATAGGAATTAATGGTTTCAAAAAATACATGGTTATAGACAGGGCATTTACATCAATAAAATTCAAAACTTATCTGGATGAATTATCATACATTTTACCGTTGAATTCGCTACTAATAATGGATAATGCGCCCATTTACCGAGCTCATATAATAACAGAAAACTATCAAAATATAGTATATCTTCCACCCTATTCCCCTCAATTAAACCCCATTGAGAATTTTTTTGCCGTTTTGAAAAATCAGTATCGTTCTATATATCCCAAACCCAATAACAGAATTCATATAATTGAGGCAATTACTAGCCTATTACTTAATTTCACTAATTTCAATTTCACAGCCTTCTATTCACATAGATATGATATATAGAAGAGGGAATCCGATCTATTCCTTTAAACAATTAATTTAATAAATTATTACACTATATTATTATATAATATAGATATATTTTTTCGTTATATTATGTGCAATACAAATAGAAAAATAAATATTTTTTGATCTTTTATTATGTAAATAAAATATACATTAAATAAAGATTTCACAAGTCATTTTCGAAACTTTAATATAAGAAAGGTAAATTTGATAGAAAATAAAATAAACAATGAAGAAATAAGTTGAAAATGATCATATGAAAAAAGTGTTTATAAAAAGTTTCGGGATAATATTATATTTTATTTATTTTGTTATTTTTTTATAATTTTTATTTTTTTAATATTAATTTAATTGTTTATATTTTTAATAATAATTTTTCTCCAAGATAAAAAAAATAAATAGCTTAAAATATTTTTTTCTTATAATTATCGTCTAGATGGCAACAAAGGGGAGGGGAATAATTTTATATTTTTGGATATAAAATTCATTGTTTTTTAAATAATTTTTTTTTACCAAGGCAGGGGGGGGGAGGGGGTATTTTAATTTTAATTTAAGAAAAGATATTAATTTTTAGAATATACTGATGGAATAAAAAGATTAATTTTAAGAATAGTATTGTAATTGTAAAATTTTAAATCATGATTTAAATCAGAGACCTGTAGAGTACCATGTGCAAGGTCCTGCCGGGATTTTTTTTAAAAAAAATTGGATTTGGGCTGGGTGGGGCCGAATATTTTTTAAGAAAATTCGAGACGGGTCGGGTGGGCCTTAGAAATTTTTTTATATAAATTTATCAATTTTATGATTAATTTTTTATGTAAAATGTAAATATTTTATTTTATTTATAGAAACTAGATACCATATAATAAATATCGATTAATTAGAGAAATTATAAAAATCAATTTTTGTATTTAAATTAATTCGAGCTGGGCTGATAAATTTTTTTTAAAAAAAATTTCGTTCCGTCCGGGTTAAATTTTTTTAAAAATATTTCTGGCCGGGCCGAGTCTGAAAAATTAGGCCCAATGCAGATCACTAATTCAAAGCTATTATTTGAATATTTTGTTATACAATATTATCACCTTCTTATAGCAATTATATTGAAGTCAATATAATTGCAAAATATTAGAAGTTAAATTTCATAATTATAAAATAGTATAGGGGAGACTTGGGTTAGGTAAACCCCGGGGCTTGGAAAACCATTTAATCTCATTTTAAAATTAAATACACCAGAAGGTTAAAATTTTGTCCTAATATAGCTTTTATTAATAAATGATTGCTAAAAATTTTATTTAGAAATAAAATTTTGTGAAATTTTCAAAAGATTTTTTACATGACAGAATTTTAATTTTTATTAAAATATATATAATAATTTATATATTTTAAATTTTATTGAAAAGTTTATAAACTCTTCTATAATTTGAATAAGTTTTATGAGTATTTATGAAATCTGGATATTATTTCAATCATGATTTGTCAATTTAGAGCTAGCGAGGTTTGCTAAACCATACACGTCAATTATGGCAGTTAATAATAACGGGCGTAGGCTAAAGTCAGCTCGTTTCAGCAAAAAAGTTAAAATAAATATTATGATAATTGTCATTTTTCTATGGTACATTTTCACTGAATTTTTATTTTAACATCTTTACAATACATATTTTTACCTATTTGTTTTAAAAAAATTTAAAAAGGTTAAAAAATAACGATTATGACAATTGTCACTCTTCTATGGTACATCTTCACTGAAATTTTATTTTAACATTTTTACAATATATATTTTTACCTATTTACTTTAAAAAAATTCAAAAAAGTTAAAAAATAACGATTATGACAATTGTGACTTTTCTGTGGTATCTTCACTAAAATTTTAACTTTACATGTTTACAATATATATTTTTACCTATTTGCTATGAAAAAATTAAAAGTTCAAAAATAACGATTATGACAATTGTCACTTTTCTATGGTACATCTTCACTGAAATTTTATTTTAACATCTTTACAATATATATTCTTACCTATTTACTTTAAAAAAATTAAAAAAGTTCAAAAGACAATTGTCACTTTTCTATGGTAAATCTTCACATAAATTTTAACTTAATATGTTTACAATATATATTTTTACCTTTATGCTGACTAAGTAGATCTAACTATATTAATCGTTTTAGTCGACTATATTAGTCGCTATTAGTTGATTTCCAGTCGAAAGAACTCGACTAATTAACAACACTAGTAGAGGGCTCCTAATATTTTTTAACTTTACACCCCAATTAACTTTTATTCCAATTAGATGGAAATGAGGAAACCCTAGCGTAGCTCTGTTGTTTATTTAACGTCAGAGGGCATATTCGCTATATATCACGGATCACGGAAATTGCACATGGCATTTCAGCAGTTACAAAACTATTATTCACCTTTGATTATAATCACTTGTAAAAATAGCTCGATAACATTGGACGTAGAGAATCGTAAAAATAATTAATATCTATCGCATTTACTTTTTAAAGAAATTAAAATAAAACAGGGAGAATATGAAAACTTAAATAATATTACTATTTTATGCATTGAGGATTCTGATGCAGGTTTAGGTAGTGGTAGTGCAACATTAAATGCCCTCTTTTTTGCTACAGAAGTTTTGAGTTCTGAAAATGGATACAATGTATTATATTATTTAGTTTAAATATGCATAAATGTTATAGGTAATATCAAATGATGTTTTGGAAAAAAGATTAATAATCATTATTCATATGGTAAACTTGTTTAATGCATATTATTATTTTCTTAAATTAAAGGGTGAAAATTGTATTACCAATCCTTATTCTCCAGCATTTTCTTATGTCCCTGTATCAAATAATATAGACAATGCTATTAATGGTAGTCATAACAAATGCCTGATTAACCTTATGAATCTAATTGACACCTTACTGTACAAATTAACTAATAACAAAGCTTTACATGGGGTTTGGGTTTGTAGTACATCTATGATATTAAACATTCCAGAACCTATGAGTAGATATTTTCTCATTTATTTCAATGCTAAAGAGATTTCCAATATAAATTACATATTTTATGGTCTAAATATTTATCTTAATCTTTTGATGCAATTGAACATTAATTTATAAGATATGATTTACTTCAATACCTTTCTAATTTTAAACCATAATTGAATTTTATACAATTTGCATCTAATTTAATTAATTGAGTTTTATAAAATTATTAATTTTTTTCATATTATTTATATAAATTAAATATTTAGCTATCATTGATGATGAATGCCAAATTATAACAATACCTAAACCAATAGAATATGTAGCTAACTCACATGGATTTTATATTTTGGATGAGAAGGTGAATGATATTTTTTATATTGTAAAAAATTATTAGAAATAATATACATTTTGTTTTGAGTGATATTAATGATCTGATTATGATTTGTATAAAAAAATTAAATATAATATTTAATGGGAATGATTAAATTGATTACTATCTTACTCATGACAAATCAAAGAAATAAAACGGGAATCATGTGTGGCATCTTAAAGTTGCAAATAAGCTTAAAAAATACAAACTTCAGACACCTGATTACTAAAATTATCGCAAAAAAAATAAAAACCGATACTCATTCCCTGCTTGGCAATTACCAATTAGGCTGCGAAACAAAAGGAGGCGTAGATATAGCCCTCTCACTGTCTTTGAATCTACATCCACCTGTAAACTCCGTTCTTTGCAAAATTGATTTTAAGAATGCCTTCAATACTGTATCTCGTTCCTCAGCACTCAAATCCTTTTACGACAATTTCCCCCAATACTCGCGCATTGTTGACATTTGCTATACCAATAGCAGTCCCCTCATTTTCAATGGTTGCGTTATATACTCCGAAGAGGGTGTTCAACAGGGCGACCCCCTTGGCACTATACTTTTCTGCTTAGCCATCCATAATATGATGAAAGATCTCAAATCTGATTTTGATCTAGACCTTAATCTATGGTATCTAGACGATGGCACTCTCTGAGGTAACCAACATAAAATAAGCAGAGCCCTCTACCACCTCGAAAGAGAATGCCCCAAAATAGGCCTAGAATTAAACAAAACCAAAACAGAAATCTGCATACTCAACCCCGAGATTCCCCTAGACTCATTTAAAGATTACAATATTATCGAAATCAAAGTTATCCAACTCTTGGGCTCCCCACTACTTAATAATAAAATTTTGGAAAAAACTATCAATAAGACCTTCTCCGAGTTGCAAAACTTGGAAAAATTCATCAATCATATCCCATCGTGCCAACTTTTTTATCTATTAAAAAGTGCCAATATTTACCTAAAATCTCGCACCTCTTCCACTCATCCTCCTCATTCACCTCCTCAGGATTTTTCACCCAACATACTATTTTCTTAAAGACCTTTATGGAAAGAATCCTTAATCTTCCATTATCAGACTTTAATTGGCACCTTGCTCAATTATCCGCTAAACTTGGTGGTATGGTATCGACCTGATCCCCTTAGAATTACTCTCCTATCTTTTATCTCTAATCGCTTTTTGCTCAATTCTGTGATCTCCTCTTTCATAACCCCCAATGACGATCTCTTAAGCAATCGAAAGATGGAATCTACTAATTCCAGACGGTCAAACATTCCCAACCGAAATTTATAATAAATCAATCTTGGAACCCCCTTATAAAGAAACTACTAAATAGTCTTAACCCTTCTGATATCAGCGATATACAACTTCTTCAACTAAACGATAAATACGGCGTGCATGAATGGCTCGAGGCAATTCCAAGCCTAACCCTTGATAATCTCTTAACCAATGACCAACTGAGAGTTACCATAGGATTTAGACATGGATGCATGCTTACACATTCACACACTTATCTTTGCAACCTACCCGTTCAACCAAATGCAAGACACGGCCTAAACTGCTCCCGCAGCCAAGGTCGCCACCTCCGGCATAAAGCTATAATAAAATCATCCATAACGCTCTTAATAAGGCTAAAATACCTAACATCCTAGAACCAACATACCTCTCTTTACAAGATGGTCTCAGACCTGACGGTTTAACCTGCACACCATGGTCCAATGGGAAATCCCTAATTTGGGAAGCAACCTGTGTCTCTTCCTTTCCCTCATCAATTAATTCAAACCCTCTTACTATTGGGGAAAATAAAAAAAATTAATAAATATTCAATACTAAATAACTTTATTTTTCAACCCATAGTCATTTCAACTAATGGCAATTTCTCACAATCAATATATATTTTTTTTTAATTTTAGCACGTAAAATTTTTAACATTACAAACGAAAAACGCAAATCAATTTTTCTTAAACAAAAACTCCAATTAGAAATTTTTAAACATAATTATACCTGTTTTTTAGGAACATTTTATAAGCTCTTTTCAGAGCCATCGATATTTTTAAAATATACATTCACTTTTAATATATATATATTCATTTTTTATTTTTATATTTTGTTTATATGTTTTAAAGATAAATGAATAATAAAAAATGTCAATTAAAAAAAAATTTATTAAAGGGAAAATATGAAACCATAATTAATTATCATAAAGCATTTGTTGTCACAAGAGAAAAATATTCCTATAAATATGAAGGAATGAAGTTTTTCTTCTATTTTCTGTGTTTTGCCATTTGCAAAATAAAATTTGGAAAAGCTACTGTGTTATCTATTAACTTAACACATATTTTAAGTCATTTTTAAATTTAGCTTTGAGCAGTTGTAGTGAAATACATCTTTTAAAAATTTAACATATTTAAAGCATCTTTTTTATAATTTTAATAAATTAATAATTTCCTTCTTTCTTTCTTTCTTTCTTTCTTTCTTTCTTTCTTTCTTTCTTTCTTTCTTTCTTTTTTTCTTTCTTTCTTTCTTTCTTTTTTTCTTTCTTTCTTTCTTTCATTGTGCTTTAATTAAATATCGGATTGGACCAATATTTTGGTTTTAAAAAAATATTGGATATTTTTATTGTTTTGGGTTATTTTATTTATGATTGTTATTGTTAATTATATAATATTTTATACATAATAATAAATTGATAAAACGAACCAAAATCCAATTTATTTGTTATGTTTAAAAAGAAATCAAATTTAAAAGATAGAGTAGCTAAAAATTTATATTGTTTTTCGTTTTTATATCTGTAACAAGAAATGGATTTTAATATATATAGCAAGTCACACTACTAGTGTTGTTAAAGAGTACAGACAATACATTCAGCCATAAACATTGCTCATATTTTAAACAGGGTTGCCAGGTCAAAATTTTCAAATTGTGGCAGAAATTCGGTATTTTGTGGCAGTAATGTAAAAATTGTGGGAGAAATATGAAAATTGCTAAAAAAAACATTTTTTGCCCTGCAAAAGCCCGGCCTGCGGCCGGGATTTAGAATTGACTTAGTTATCCGCTTATTATTTTTTATAAATATAAAATCGAATCTATTTCCCAAAATAAAATAGGTAATTATTTTTCAAAATAAAATAGCCAACTATTTTTCAAAATAAAATATCCAACTCTTTTTCAAAATAAAATAGGTAACTATTTTCCAAAATAAAATACGCAACTATTTTTCAAAATAGGTAATTATAGTACGACACAAAATTTCTTATATACTATCTTTATTATTAAAATAACATATTGATTTATTATAATATATTAATTTTGTTTAAAAATAATAACCAACGATCTTTTTTAAATACAAAAGAATGTAAACAAGATAAAATATATTTTATGCTAATGTATAAATAAGATTTTATAAAAAAACTAACAATTTTAAATTTACAATGTAAAAAATAATTATAATCAGTGCGGGGAAGTTGTTCTACAGTATTTAGTTAATACAATGGGGGAAGGGAATATGATATTTTGAGGCATCAAAAATCTTCAAAGCATAAATCAGTACAGTCTATCAACATCTATTGCAAAACAAAAATATTCTTCAAAAATAAGAAATAATACAGATGCAACTACAGTTGCGGAAATGGTAAATACCTATTATGCAGTACAACATTCAGAGAGCTCAGCGTCTACATGACAGTATATTCACTGGATGCAAACCCCCCTCAAAAATATATATCTACCCCCCTACTATACCAAAATGTTATCCATAGAAAATTTAAAAATGTAATGGAAAATTTTCTAGATTATTATAGCCTACCCCCCAAAATGCCTACCACCTATCTCCTACCCCTTTATAGATATTAGGATGCAAACTGTTTTTACCCCCCCCCCCGCTCATGTAGACGCTGAGAGAGCTACTTAACATCACAATATTGGTAGAATCTTTCCCCATAATATTTAACGACTAATATAAATGAAAAGTATACTTTGTAGAACACAAATGAGCAAGGCTATCATCAATGTTTTAGGATATAAATCCAGAAGGTCAATTCTTGACGATTTGAAAGATGTGCAAACATATGCAATTCTAACATAGGCATCTAATAAGGAGATATCAAAACATTTCCCTTGATCCTCCCCTATTTCAACAAAATTAATGTCATTTCAATAAAGCTATTTAAAAAATTTTCTCCAGATATGAAAAATCCAAAGACATAGCTAACCATATATAATGGTAAATATGGCAGATTTGGCATTACCAATGAATTGCATGGCAGCTTTCTGATCTGATAATTCCTTAGTGAATTTAGCAAAAACCAGAGTGTATTTACAGAATTGAGTCAGCATAATGTTGGTTGACAGGTTCCTTCTAATACGCGCCATCGTAGAATTTTAAAATTTTACAAACCTTTAAAAAATAAATAGATTATAAAAGCTGTCCTAATATTTTGAAAAAAATTTTCAAAAATAAATGGCAGAAGTATATTTAGGAATTTTACATATAGGAAATCTACTATATGCTGTTAATATTCAGTTGCAATCAGAAGATTCTCTATTGATAAAGATTCACAAAATCATGCTACAGCTCTGTCTATCTCTACAGTTAAAAATAGATAATAAATTTTATGGCGCTATTGCTAAAAATATCATATTACAATGTTCAAATATTACTATAATTAACGTATTTTTAAATGAAGCAAATATTTTTATTAAGACAATTTTGGAATATTTACAATCAAGATTTGATTTTAATAACTCTATTTACAAGTGTATAAATATTATGACCTTGGAACAGAAACCATCATTTGATGGTTTTTGTAATTTAATAAATATATTAAAATTACCGATGTGAAACTAGTGGAGCACTGCAATTCTAGATAACGATATAAAATATATTAAGTAATTTAAAATATATTTATAATAATTATACATACTGTTCTAACTTCTATTCTTTCTAACACGAAAATGTCGAGTGGAGAATTGGAGAATTTTATAAAAAATATATTTTAGAGCAGAAAAATAAAATAAAAGAACTAGACATATTTTTCGAATAAATATTTAAAATTTATTTTAAAAATATAAAAATAATCAAATACTGTCTCTCAAAATTTTATATATTAAAAACATTAAAATGCTAAAAAAAAATTGTGGGAGAAATTAAAAAATTGTGGGAGCTTTTTGTGGGAGTGAGATGTATGTGGGTAAACTAAAAAATTATGGGAGACTCCCACTGATGGGGGGAGACATGGCAACCCTGATTTTAAATGAGATAACTTTTCGAGTATTAAAAAAATGCACTACATCATGAAAGTTAGTTGTTTTTTATAAATAAAAATTTTTTAATTTTTATTTGCATTAATTCTAAGATAGATGCCGAGCCATAACCACGCCCCCCCCCCAAAAAAAAACATGACCCCTCGAAAAAAATATTATTTATTAAATTTTAACCAACACTAAAAAAATAAAACGAAATTTGTATTCAAATATGATTTAATTTATTCAAATTAATAAACATGAACATACCTATTAGTTATAAAATACATTCATGCATTAATCACTCAAGTGATAAATTTGGACAAAAGGGATTCAGTTATTGGAAAAATGTGTTAGCTGCAAATAAGGGTCTACTATAAAATGAATTTTCAAAAGCTTATTTAAATCCAATAACAATATGGCATGATATAAATTTTAATATAGACACTGAGATAACAACAATTCTGCTAAGCCAGCAAAACCGTAATCGTTATTATCTTAAATCAATATTTGATTTGATGCTATACAAAACTTTTTTTAAAATTGTTCTTCTACATCGTGTCAATCCCAAAACTAGTTGGGATCTTTAAGATAAGTTATATCCTTACATATGGCTAGTCGTTAGACTACGTTAACGTCAGTTTTCTTATCCAGCATGGTCTTACGGATTTGAGAAGTCTAAGTAAGTCCTGGCCTGCCTCATTCGTTGACACATCATTTCGTAATTGAGAACTAGCCGGTTCTTTAGTTGATTCTCTTCTTAGCACATGTTCATACTAGGGATGTACCGATATTTTATATCGGATCAGGCCGATATTTCACCCATTTTAAAATATCGGTTATCGGCAAATATTATAAATTTTAAAAAAATGTTATATCTAAAAAACCATTTATTTTTATAAATAAAATCGAAATATTTTTATGTTTATTTTTTTAATGGTAATAAATAGTTAATAAACATACTGCCATATTGTTATTTTTGTTCGCATTCTGTTTATAAAAGTGTGCAATAATCTCTTCAGAATCTTCTTTTTAGTGAAGCTAGTGATATTTACAGTCCCAATCACCGCAGTTTAGCTTTTTTATATTATAATTATTGTTAAATATTGGATAAAAAATATTTTGTCTAAATATCTATTTACACCTCAGTCTTATTTTAAATATTTAATTTTTTCATATTTTAAGTTTTATACAGTTTTAGGCTACTAGCTTAACGCATTATATTTTGCAACTATTTTGAAATGTAACCTCAAACATGTAACGCATTTTATGAAGGTATTTTATATCTTAACGATATCATTTCCAAAGTATTGCCCAACTTATATTTTTTTGCTGTTGTGATTCAATTTTTTGACATTTTGCCTTATGTAATTTAACCATGTGTGTTATCATTTTCCAGGTCACTTTTACCTGACAAACCCATTTTTATTTGAATATTGAACGAATTTGTAATGAATGCTAGGAATATGCAACTTATTCAAACCATAGATATATATATATATAGTATTTAAACACAATTTATTTATCAAATTTCACCAAACTTAAGTCGTATGTTAAAAGTGTGCAATATCAAAAATCGATCAATGAAATTAATAATACTTTGCCACACAATTCAAAACATAATCCGAATGTGCCGTTAGTTATTGGTCTTATATATTTCCCTGTCAAATTTGCTCAAATTTTATTACATTTGCATTCCAAGCCACCTATCGATTGCTCAACCTATATGGGAAAGGATAGGGGAGCTCATTCTTTAAAAGTATTGAAAAAAATATTTTTATATTCATACTTATATTATATAACTTAATTACTTATATGTTCTTATAAGTTTCTTCATTCAGAAAAAAAAGAAATATCCTATGATTTTGAGGAAAATAAAGAGTTATTCTGTATTATTTTTCTTAATTTGATATTTTAAGCTTTAACATAATGGAAGCATTTATCCTTTTAAATTTATTTTTTTTATTTTAATTTTATTTTGATAATATCTGTCAAATGAAAAACTTTCACTGGTAGAAATATTCACATATATACGCTGCCAAATAAAAATAAGCCCCCTCCCTTTCAAACACATATATGTCTGAGAAATGTAAAAGTTATATCATCCCCAAGAGGATAGATTTAAATAAATATGGTTCGTTAGATTTGGAAATTTTTTCTAGACTCCTCAAAAGCATTTGATATAAGAGATAAAAAGTTAATTTAAGAAAAACGTGTTTTTTATTAGAATTCTAAAATGTTTTCTAAGGGGGAGGGGTTAACTTTATTCATGCCAAAGCAAAATTTTTCTTAAAGGTCGGATATAATTGCTATATTATTGAATTCCTTTTTAGATTTTGAATAATTTAAATTCATTTTAAACAACTATTTCTTATTATACTATGTCATGAAAAGGTATAGAGATTTAATATGAAACCATGTCTAAGATCATATTAGAGCATTCTAACGTTGCAACGTTTGGTATTCATTATATAAAAAAAAATAGGAAAACTATAAATATAGTATATTTATAAATTATACAAGGTATATTTTTTATATAGTAAATTATTCGAAATTAAATACAAATAAAAGCCGTTGATAAAATAAAAATAATTTTAAAGTGTGCTTTCTCGAAATAGCGAAATTTTTAAAAATGATATTTTGCAAACCTCTATTTTTAGGCTTGCTATTCGAACTTTCTGGATATGGCCTTTGCCCGTTAGAAGTGTTAATTTAAACTAATTTTTTTTTTAAAAAATTAAATTATTATTTGATAAAGCTTACCTTATTTTTCGATTTACTCTACCCAATGTATCTCGATTCTGATTTGGATAAATTCTTATCACCCAATCACGATAACCATTTGAAGTATTCCGATGATACTACCGCTTCGTCCTCCTATCTTTACATGGCAAGAAGTTTATTATGGAAATACCTCCATAAATACAAAGTCAAAGCAAGTAAATTCGCTCCCACCCCCCAATTTTACAAGTCTGCAAAAGATATTTTATTGACTTTTTTTTCAAAAACATAGACTCTTTTTGAATTAGAAACCCTGAAAAAAAATTTTCTTTCGAATTTTTGTTATTTTATTTAAAAAATTTCGAGTCCTGGTCGGATTCGAAATTTATAATTTACAAAAATATATTATATTAAAAACAATTTTTATGAAAATACATCAAGTAAAATAAAAAATTTGTCCTTATCACAATTCCATTCTATATATTACTCTATTCTTGATAAAAAGAAGAAAAAAAGAAATTATTTTTTATCTTATTTTTAACACTTTCAGACCCGGCCTGCCCGATTTCAAAAGCCTAGCTTCGTGCTGGGCCCATTTGCAGTTCGAGAATAAAATCTCTAGGTTTAGAAAAAGAAATTCTATATGACTTAAAAAAATTAAGAGGCTGTGTCTCGGTTCGACTTAATTTTGATACTTAATTGCTAACAGCTTCTGAACTAGGACACCCTATTTTGGTTTTCTTTAAGTATTTGGTTGGCATTGTTATTTTTCATATTTATTTTCTCGTTTTTTTTATATTTTTGATTTCGTTTTGTTATTTAAAAAATAAATATTTTTCTTCTGATTTTTAGGCTGTTTAGTAATTATTCGAACCCATGACACGCCCTTATACTTTCATCGTTGTTTTGTTTGATTTTTTTAAAAATAAATAACATATTTTTAAATATAAGTAAGTTTTAGTTGAAACAAAGAATCCAGAGGAGATAATGAAAGTATTTTTTTAAAAAAAAATGAAATTAAAAAGTGTTTATTTCAAAGTTTGAAAAAAAAATTCAAAAATTTTGAGCAAAAATCTTTGAAGATTATAAAAAAAAATAAAATTGAAGATTTTTTAAAGCAGATATTACAGTTTAGAGAATATTTATTAAATATTAGAAAAGCACTTATTAATAATCAAGAGGGGAAAAACGATTGATTTAAAAAAAAAATTTCAAAAAACACAAGTTTATCTTCGAGAAGGCAAATGTGATTATATACCTCGGGATTGTTTACGGGATTATTTGCGTTTGTTTTCAAGTAATAGGCTTGAGTCGAATATCTCTAACTCATATTGCCAAAATCGTTATGCTTCCCATTCCTACGTCGATTTAGATCGCGATATCAACGGTATGAACGATGATTTAATGCCCATCAAGATGTTAAATTGCTTGATTAAAACGGAGAAATCGATCTACGACACATTCAGAAATTCTTCTAAATCTTTGACTATTGGCGCGGGCACCATTTTACACAATTGTAAAATTATGATCACCAAAGATTCTAATGTGTCAATCGGTGCCGATTGTTATTTATTCGGAGTCGACACGAATATGAATACAAATAATCATTATAAAGAACATCCCAAAAACTTCTTTATCCTCCCCGACAAAATCGCTATTTTAACATTGGATATATTATTACCTATCAAGAGTGATTGCAATATGCCGGTTATGATAGTGCTTGGAGTCACAGATAATATTAAAGTGAGAGATAAACTTGCTTTGATTAAATGTAATTTCATATATTTAAATTTTATTATGTTAATGAGAGCACTATATAGGCTCACATAATTTGAACGGCAGCATTCAAGCGATGTTGTTGGACGTATTATCTCACTGGAATCTTTAGTTTTACGCTCATCCCTTGGATTAACTGTCATATAAAATCGCATTCAAATATATACACTAAAACAGTTAATGCAGACAAATATTTAAAAAAGAAACAAATATTAAGATTTACAAAATATCCTATTTATTCCTTATAGTGATAACACCACTAGTTATTTTTTGGCAATGATGCCTCTTTTTCGTTAACTAAAATTGTAAAGAGAAAAATATTCCAAAAAACGAATAATATATCCGACAATGCATTTGAAGTCTGCCACTCAAATTACATAAGGATTTTATTTTAAAAAATATGTTGTGATAAATAATTTTAATAACAAAATTTTTATATTAATTTTTTGAAATACCTAGAGCTAGACATCGTTAGCTCATATTATATAAGCTTGTGCAAATTTCGTTCTTCTCTAGGGACGTCGTCACTGCATGGAGCACATTTTTGTAAAAATAATCCTGATAACCAGAAATAGGAACCTTTATGAACTTTAGTTCTAGTTCCAGAACCGTTTCTAGATTTTGTGTCTATACGAATGAATAATTGTAGATGAATTTTGTATATAATTACTAAACCCAAAAACCTCATTTATTCATTTCTAAGGTTCAGAGTTCGATTTATTAAAAGTTGTACCCGCTTCTGCTGTTCTGATATGATAGCATATCGAATTTTATGTAATAAAACATAGGGTAATTACCAGAGTTGTTAAAGTAGCGAGCTAACTTTTGGTAGCTAATAGAAGCTACTTTTTTTTGTAATTATTTAATTTTTTAGCGCGCTACTTTTAAAAAATATAATGAAGGTAAGTATAAACATGAAAATTTAAATTCATAATTAATTATTTTTAAGATTTATTATTTTATTTTGAAATTGAAACATATTAATTTATATTCATTTGTATTATAAACCTAAATCACGGGTTAATAATTTAAAATGTCATCGCCTATGGATATCCAAATCGTTGAAAGTGATTCAGACAATGATTTTAATGAAATGGAAAATACCAGGGAAGAAAATGTTCTTTATAGTTATAATACAAATTTATTTGTTTAAAATGTAAAAAAGATATTTCTCAAATCAATCCAGTTATAACCTCAAAAAACACCAAAAGATAAATTGTCATTTTTACATTCTAATAGTATTTATTTTATAAGACTGTTCTTACCAATAGCTTTAAGGAAATGGAGAAACATTTTAATAATTTAGGTATAGGCGACTCTACATACAAAAAGACTAATTCAAATCAACTCAAATTAATATATAATCCAAATGCCAATATTTCTCAGAAATTGGCTGATAAAGTTATTGTTGATTTTATAATTGATACAGTTCAGCCAATGTCCTTGGTTGATAAACCATCATTTACCATGATGATTAAAACTCTATCCTCTGGTACAACAATTTTATGTGGCCAGACACTAATGAATAAAATAGCAAATAACTTTAAAGTGATGAAAGATGCTCTAATAGTAGAGTTATCAGAGATATCATATATATGTCACGGTAGATAATTGGACACATAACACTAGTTAAAAACTTATAAAATGCAACAAATTACCATAAATATTTATTAATCAAAACTAATTATCTTTTAATATTTATAAATGTTGATTTTTATATATTTACTATACAATAACATTATAAGCAAAAAATAAAACAAATTTGTTTCTAAATTTTTTTATAAAAAGTAGCTAAAGCTACTTTTGAAAAATAATAGCTAAAGCTACTTTTGAAAAATAATAGCTAATAGCGAGCTACTTTTTTTGACAAATAGCGGTAGCGCGCTAATTTTTTTGACAATTCGCGATAGCGGTATCGCGCTACTTTTTAAAGTAGCGATTAACAACTCTGGTAATTACACTAAACTATATTATGAGATTCAATTTATTTTTGAAAATTTTAAGTTTTATATTTATTATTTGGTATTTAAAGGATTCTTACGATATAGGCACGTTTCTTAACCAACCTTTTATGGCTGTAATGAAGGCTAAAGGTATTATTGATAGCGATTTGTGGCCATCTGAAATGGTTTAAAAAAAATATTTTGTTTTAATATTTTTTTTATAATTATTTCTTTTTTCCTTCACATTTTTCAGAATTCTTATATATTTTTTTTTTGTGAATAGTGAATAGGAATTGTACATTTACGAAAGAAAGAGAAAGGGTGTGAGGTATAATTAAAATTATTTTATTAAAAATAAGAATTTAAGATTTATAGTTAGAAAACTCTCTTTTCTACTAGTGTACATTTTTATTATTAGAATTTTATTAAAAATTTGAGAATTTGACATTTATATAGTTAGAAAAATTCTAATACTCTCTTATTCTATGTTCTAGTGTCCAGAAAAATGTAAAATATATGTTAACGTCAATGTATTTTTCCAGCAATGTGTTATTTCTACAACTTTAAATCATTTTTTGAGCGCGTTTTTAATTTAAAAATCGTTACCGGAAATATATTTTATTATGTTTGAAATACCTATCTTATGAATTATAGATAAATTTGCTAGCACTTTTATTACTTAGAATTGTTTTTAATTTATTTTAGGTAAGCATTTTCAGTAAATAGCTTAAACTTAGTGAGGATTACGGTTTGGACTATGGTTCAAATTTAAAAAACCACCCGTGCCACCATCTTAAAATAGGAAGGACCTTTAGGACCGATTTCGATATTGTTAGCTTTATATAAGTGATGAAAATTTTATAATCACTTATTTAATTTAAATCAGAGACCTGTAGAGGTCAAAATAAACTCATCATGGTTTTGACAAAAAAATTATTAATCGAATATTAATTATTCATTATTCCTTCTTTTTTTAAACATTCTTTTAACACTACTTGATAATTGATTTGGATTGATGTACCATTATTAAGATTTAAGCTTCGCCTAAATTGTTTCTATCATCGGATGTCTACAAAATTTAAAATAGTTCCAAATTAATAAATACCTTAAATGTTATAATATAAATAATTTTTCAACAATTTGATATATCGTTATGTAATAGAAAATTTTAACAAATTCATAAATTAAATATCATTATTTGTAAATATCCTATTAGTTCTTTATTTAGAAAAAAACTTATAAATAAAACAAAATTGAGTTTAAGATGCTTTAATGTTTGAATTAACGAAAATGATTCCGCTGGAAAATTCGTAGCGTTTTTATTTTTTAGCTAGGACGAAGTATTATTTTTAAACTTATAAAATTTAATTTGTTTAATTAGCGCGATAAATCAGTGTACAACGCTAGGCTGTATCCTATCCTTTCTCTGGATTCTGAGAAACGCGGTAATCTTGATAATGTCACCCAATTTCAGTTTTTAGATTGGATTTTATCTAAGGAAAAATCTGCCAGTTACGATTTATCAGAGTGACTTTTCATAATATTAAATTTTATAAATTTCAAATTCATAATATTTAATTTAATTTATATTTTTAAATTTTATTTATCCATGACTCAAATAAATACGTAAGTTGGAAACTAGCTTGGCGATTGTCTATAAAAGAAATTCTGACTTTAATTAGTTACGAAAATAATTTCACCAAAGTCAAGTAAATACTTCATATAAAAAATAATAATGATTCTAAATATATATAAAGTCCTTATCGTAGGATTTGGAGGAATTTATATGATCCTATATTGCTCTAAGATTTCTTTTCTTGAACCATTTTACTAATAAAATATTAGATTTAAAAAAAAATTATTTATAATTTAAATCAATCATTAAGTATAATTATTATCTTGACTACAAATGTTTATTAAGAGCCTTGTTTTTCCGCAATGGCATTTTAAAACATCGTTGAATTGATTTAGTTAGTGCTGAGCGGATTAATAAATTTATATTTAATTATGTGTATTTGAAAATATAATATAGTTTGCTCTATATTTTTATTTTCGGGTTATAAATGAGATGTTGTCTTATAGCCGCCCTATGTTTCTAATTGCTCCTGCCATTAGTTTTTTTTAAAATATATTTCTTTAATAAAGAAAATAGATAAATTTGTTTTAAATGCTATAATTATTAAGATTTTATAGCTATTTGTATTTTTTTTAGTTTAAATAATATTCCCCAAAACTTAAGGCCAATATTAGATCATACTAAATTCTACTAAACTCCATAAATTACAAGTTATTAAAAAATAATAAGGAACTGAAAATTAACCGTTTCTTTAAATCGTGTCATACCTGTTTTCCCCTTAAAAAGCCTTTTCCAATCCAGGCTTGGATATGGTTCGGATTAAATATGCGACCGGACCTTCACTAAATGTGGCAATAAGAAAATGTTTTCTCTTAATCTAAAACATCTAGCTTTATCTTTAAACTTTAGGAATAAATCGCCGTTTTCTCATAGTTTAAACCCAATACCTAGTCCAGAAAGCAATTTCTTCGTATTCTGGGCTTGTCAAGCAAAATATTTGTATTACTACCAATGACGTATAATACTACGTAGCCTAATTCATCTATGGAAATATTTAAATGGTATCGATAGAAATCAGTCGGTGATCGGTGGGTCTATTTATCGCTCGGCTAGTAAATATCGCTCGGTTAACCACACAATAAATCATTTTATTTCTAAATATCGCTCGGTTAACAACATAATAAATCTAAATATCGCTCGGCTACAAGTACTCGTTTATTTATGTATTATATTTTTAATCATATTACAGTGGGTTTTCACTTTTCTAATATTATTTGAGAATTAATTAGTTTTTATAAATAAAATAAATTTTGGACAAGTATAAAATATTATCTTTTAGATATTTTAGCTTCAATACTTTTATAAAATTAAACTTTCTCTTAACTTTTTTTTATTTATATAAGTAAAAATATAATATTTAATCCGCTAGATGGCGTCTTTATATTTTAAAAAATTATATCATAATATAAAAATAATATTTTTGAATGTGTCTAATTAAATAATAAATGATTTATTATGTGGTTAGCCGAGCGATATTTAGTATGGATGATTTATTATGTGGTTAACCCGAGCGATGTTTCTCAGCCGAGCGATATTTAGTAATAAAATGATTTATTGTGTGGTTTGCCGAGCGATATTTTCAGCCTAGCGATAAATAGAACCCGTTGGTGATAGCCATTTTTTGTTTCCCATATAAATAAAATAATTTACGTTTTTAAAAAACATTAGTTTCATTTATTTATAATAGTTATTATATGTGTAACCAACTATCACCAGCTTATTTGTTTCCAACGTGACTTCAAACTGCATTTTAATGAATGAATCAAAGATAGAAAAAACTGTGTTTCGAGAAAACAAATCAAAAAAATTAACGTTTTTTTTTTAAATTTTTTTTATTACTACTTACAATCCTTGTGGATTATATATTTTGCCAATATTTTGTTGAAAATTTTCCATTATATAAATTATTTTTTAATTTGCTCTAAAATAATTAACTTTAATTTATTTTTTTAAATATTTTTAAATTTCGAAAAAATGAATTTTAAGCTGGTTTTGTTTTTATTTCGTTTTTTCCCTCTTTGTTTTTTGTTTTAATTTTTTTTACATTTCTAGAATGAATACTCTATGTATGTATTGTATGTTATTAGCTACTATGTAATGCGGCCCAACAAAAAAAATTAATAAAATATGATTAGAACTAAAAATAAACAAAAGACATTTTATTGTTTTTTTTCAATAATTCAAATCAACGAAATGATCTACGTTTTTATATATATTATGATTCTATAATTCTTCTATTTTAAATTTCATAGCCTACTTTATCAAGAAATATCAGAAAATATTGTCAGACAATGTTTAATAGATCCTTTCAATTCAGAATCCCTTCATCTCAATCACCTATTCAAAGAATCATGCAGTCATGGCTATCGTATTAGGATGTTGCAATGCCTTGATGAAGGTAATATTGATATTAACCCAATTGAATTTTAGATGTTATGTATATTAGTAAGTTAGAATAGGTAAATCTTAATCGTCAGGACAATACGAGACTTAACTCCTAGGGACGATTTAAGAGAGAATACACTAGATGGGACGTTTTGCCAGAGAACGGAGCATGTCTTAGCCGGACCTTTGACCTATTTAATCGAAAAATATTAATAAGCATCTTTATCGACCATTACAAAATATTCTTTAAACATTTTTATATATTTAAAAACACGCATTTTTCACCCTAATTCAAAGTATCTCAAGATTTATGCCAAAATATGACTTCATTGTCACCAGTGGACTTTAAAGATTCTGGACAAAATTTTAAAAATTTGAATGTCCAAATAAGTTTAATCGGAAGACTTTCTCGTTCATTATCCAATACGGCCGATTTCTTAAATATTTGGGCGGGACTCCAGGGGGGTCTGAGGTCTGGACCAGCCGCAAATTTAGCTTGGAGACACTCTAACCTTTGTTTTAGCGTAATATTTATAAGATATTATATTTGGTAGCTAGTTGATTCCGCTAATAATTTATTATAGTGAAAACATTAGAGCAAACGCATTATCGCGAAAAAAAAAAGGATATTATATTAGCTATTACAATATTAAGATTATTTATTACTTTTTCTCAAAATTTAAATGTTTTGAATAATTGAAAAAAATTATATATAGGTAATGAACCTATATCATTTTTTTAGCCGATTCCTGCATAGTTAACCCACAGTTTATAACTTTACTATGGTTAACTAAATTTTATGGCACCTTGGTAGTTAACTCTAACGAGGTTTACTTTTTACAAATTCAGAACCACCAATTTTACCAAGGCGTGAAAGCCCTTCAGAAAGAAAGGGCCAGATGGATTGACAGGCCTTTCCACTTGGTTAGGGCCGCAAGGCATTACGCAGCTTCTTCTCAGTGCCTCATAGGTCTTCAAGTTGCTTCAGCTGAATATGTAAAAAAAAAATTTATTTAATCAAAAAATGAAATTAAAATTTTAAGAATTTGGTTTAAGGAGTATACGAAGGTTGGGATAACATTCTGATTATTCTAAGCAGACGTATATCGTAAAAAAACACTAAGCACTGACGCGTGAGATACTATATTTTTCCCTTAGCTAAGAAAAATTTTAAATCCGAGGCTAAGATAATAATTTATTAGTTAAAAACTATGTTTATCCGTTGATTTTTTTTCCGGCTAAAAATAGAGGAATTACTCTACTATATTTAGCAGTAAAATAAAGAAGGAGGGGAGGCGTGAAATAGTGAGGGGAAAAAATGAAGCTGAAGGGAAGAAAAAAGAGAAAAGAATGAATGCATTTTTTTTCTCGATATATGTTTATAATCACTTACATTTATATTTAGAATATTCTTATTGAACCTGATGACTCTAACCATTTATTCGTTCCTTTATATAAGATAGTCAGGGTAGAAGCACCTGCTAGGTAATTCTCAATTTAATCATCAAATATTTTTGTAAATAATTAGAGTTAATCATATTTTTTTAATTAATTAAGATTTTGAAAATGAATTTTATTTCTAAATACCTTTCTGATAAATTTTTAACCCTTTTCTCATTCGCAGGTAATGCAAATTCGCGGTTTTTTTCGCTGCGAATTCGCGTTAAATATGAATGAGAGGTAACGCGGCGCCTTAGCTCGTTATTTTTTATGGAATTCAAAATAAATAGTGATTTTAGATTAAGAAAATATGAATAGATGTACCCTTTATAGATATCATTTTAGAATTTAGAAATTCTAAAAAGTATATGGTCAAATGATAATCTTTATTACATAAATGTGGGCTTATACACTGTAAACTATAATATAATTATTTAATTCAATTTAACCTTTTAAAGTTATATAATATTAAAACATAAATATTCAAATAATATCTTGATACAAATACGATATATAATATTCAAATAATATAATATAAATTTTTTTATTTAATATATAGTTTTCTCACATCAAATATAAAATTGTAGTCCCACCTCGGTTTTTATATAATATTGTTTTATTTTATTTTATATTTGATGTGAGAAAACTATATATTAAATAATATAATATTACAATTATGATAACCTTTATTAGATTATAACAATTACCTTATGACAAAATCTATCATTAATAAAAACCAAAAAAATAGTGTCCAGGCTTCTATTCTCAAAATTAAGATGAAAAAAAGGTAGAGTTACAATGCAGTTCAAAACCTTTGAAGTAAAGTGGTCGCTTAAAATGATGAAGGTGAGTTGGATCAATTATAAACGTATTAGGAAATTCAATTAATCCCAAATTTATGTATAAAAATTATATGTTCGGACCAGTAGATTCTATCGGGATTCCACTCAGGTCAGATATTGGAAGATGAGTTTATAACATAATTTGTTTTAAGCAACTGCAAAATATTCTAATCTAAACAATGAATACGATCTTTGAAGAAAAATATTCGGATCCGATCGAACGAATTTTTGTCCAATAGGATCGGACTCGAAAATTAAGTCCGATGCTGAGGTTTTAGTTCCCGCCAATCTTTAAAATAAATGTAAATTTTAAATTGTGACGATAATGTAATATTATTACCCCCCCCCCCCCTCCACACACATATTGCACCCATATATTGCGAAAACGAGATATGGGTCTCCTTATCACTTTAAATAAATATTTGCGGCAATATCAGTCATTAGATATAATGTTGGCTAGAAGCCTGCCTTACACCAAGACACATATTAGGCATAAAAAACAATATTCAAGAATTTTTAAAAAAATATGGAATGTTTAAATCAAGATAGAGATTGTATTTATTTTTATTTTAAAAAAGCATTTCAATAATAAATAAATTTTTAAATTTTATAATACATACATATTGATTACGCCCTATCATGTCAAATTCTATCATAGTTTTTTTTTGTCCTTATTTTATATTTTTATTAAAATTATAATTTGGAAAGGGGACAACTTAAAGAACCAAAAATTGGACCCCTTTCTTAAAATTTATAGAAACCAAAACCCGTTCTAACCTGTGATACTAATTTATGAGTATATTGTTGTTTGAAATTTTGCATACTTTTCATTGTTTATTAAGAAAATTTGAAACAAGAATTTAAGGCCTTTACGTCGAATCTAAGAATCCAAAAAACCTCTTTTTAAAATTTTTGGTAATCAGGACCAGAGCACCTTAACAAGAACAGTTACTCTGGTTGAAATAACCCTTTAAAATCCTTGGACGAAAAATTAAGGGAGTTAAAGTGTTAAAAATTGAAAAATTTTATTTAAAAAAATAGGAATGAAAAAATAATATAGAAGCATTTCCGATCAACTTATTATGTTCCTTTTTTTTAAAAAAATAAAATAATTTATAAATAAAATAAATACTACTTTAGGCTAGATCTAGCTGGCGGCTGGAGCGATACTCCTCCTATATGTTACGAAAACTTAATATTACTTGATCCCAGTATGAAGTTTGTTTTTTTTGCATCGTCAAATGATTTTTAAACTTCTTTTTTAAGAAAGATGTTTTTTTAAATTTAAAAAAAAAATACCATAAAATACATAAGAAAAGAAAGGCATTATTCTTACATCTTTTTTTTAAAATTATAATTTAAATTCTATTTACCCAACTGAATATCCCCCCCCCCCCTTTTTGCTCCTTATATTTTTCATTGGTAAAAATATTTTGCTAAATAAATAGTTAAAATAAAATAAAAAAACCCAAAGGGAGATTGGTGATGATATATTTAGTCAAATTGGAAATCAATTTATCAGTGGAATAGTTTTAAACATGGCGATAAATATAGACGGGCACAAGCCTATAGGTGTTTTAGGAAGGAGAGTGAATGAACCATCGATCAAAGTTTTTTATATTCTTATAAACAAAACATAGTATTTTATATGTTATACAAAAAGTTTTAATTATATTCCGGATGTCTGCCCCCGCTTAAGCGGAATTTATGAAAAATTTTGGGTTTATGCAATTACAATTAACCTTGACCTATGGACCACCCCCTGCACTTTTTACCACGTCGAAAAAACCGTCTATTAAGTCGAGCCGCTCCAACATACGGCGCGACGTCAATTTTTTTTTAAAAATGATCTTTAATTTATTAATTTTAATAGTTTATTTCATCATTCATTATAATATTGATTTATTTTTTACATTTAAATATTAAAATTAAATATAAATTTTATTGATTTGGTTTATTGTATGCTGTGTACCTGTTCATAACTACGAAATAACAACGCTCTCTAGTAATATGTTTATTATTTGTGGTATAGATGAAAGAGAATCTGATAAACTATTTTCACAGTATTTTAATTTTTGATATTTATGAATTAGCTTTATCTAAGTTTTCTAAATTCTGAAAATTAATTATACAAATTTGAAATTTTACACACACCACTTTAAAATTTTATAAGTATCTAAAACTTATTGATTAAAATCGAAATGCAGACACGGAGACCATATTGTAAATAGTAAAGATCCCAAACTTCACGCTCATATTAAGTAAAATAGCTCACGGAAACTCCCAATATTAGCTAATTTGCTGGAAAAGTTCTTTGCACACCAGTGAGTACACCTAGCGGATAAATTTTTTATATAGTTATATTAGACCCGTAAATGATGAAATTATGTGCACATATAGATTATATAAAAATATATTCAATTATAAATTTCATTTATCAACGACAATCGACTATAAATAAAACCGCCTCTGCCAATTTGTATTTGGGCATATAAGGTCATCTAATACATTATTATTAATTGTGGATTGATATTCCCATTCAATTTTAGACCTATAAGTATTCTTTCTTTAACATCATTATCTAAATGTCTTTGATTAGGCAGACAATTGTAAATCATTGTTAACACGAATATTTAGTAAAAAAAATTACCAAAAACGTGGTCTTAATATTTAGTCATTAAATTTAATACAATTATATATTTATTATCTTTCGATAATCTTCTTTAATTCCTTCAAATTTAAGCCTATATAATATATGCTTATATTTGTATTTGATACAAGGTTTCAAGGAAATATGTCCTGGCTTTAGTTTTGTATAGATTGATGAAATTATTTTTTTCGAAATCATCAATCCATTTCTCTAACTCGGTTATTGGAATAAAATCTACTTTTGTAATCAAGCGATATACATTTTATTGACAAGCGGGGAAATTAGCTTGTCTTGGACGTCGGAATTGATAGGAATTAGTAGGGTATTTGAAGTCTGTTGAGGGGAATTGCTTTGTATAATGTATATTAGAAGTAGGAATTTAATTTAAATATAAGATTATAAATAATTCTTTATTTTGAAAAAGTAAACTGATAAATTTTATAATATACGATCTCTTTTTATATCCAAGGTAAATCTATCATGTAAAAATGTATATCATATAAAATAACGTTATCCAATTTACAAAATATAATGTACGATCGCCTTAAACCTTCATTATCTAAAATGAAAAAGTATTTTAATACAATACGAATATATCGTTAAATAGAATATATAGTTACTAAGCCAGACCAAGCCCACTTTATTTTCATTATTTAAAATTTCATGAATAGTTATTTTTCAAACTATTGAATTATTTAAATTATAGAGATATTTGAGATATTAGGTTGCATATTGCTGATATTGTTTGACATAATTTATTATTCTTTTTTAAATATGTTCGTAATTAATAAATGGACAAATATTCTCTTTCCCGCCTTTATATTCAAAAATTAGATAAATTCACTGATTATTATTTGTTTTAAATTGCGATTTAAATTTTTCAAAAATTTGATTTTTTTTCAACAAAAAAAATTTCCATTTTTGAAGCTGTGATAATATTTTTAGTTTTATATAATTTACAATCTAATATTAAAAAAAAATAATCACAGATAATTATGTCTAACTTACGACCAGAACCTTCCTATGAAGCAAATTTTTTTGACAGGGATTATGTTTTGGAGCTAAAAGCAGAAAATTTTAAGGAAATTAAATTCGATAGGCAAGAAGATTTCGAGGACATACAGCCACAAAGCTTGGGTTTTAAAAACAAAATTTATTTTTTTTAAATTGTCCAAAAAAAGAATATCAAAAATAATTTATAAAGGTTAATGATTAGTTAATTTCGTAAATATATATATTATATTTATATTAAAATAATAGTATAAAAATCAAAAGGCGCTCATTCTAAAAAACGGAATTGGGACTACAAGTTTTACAAAAAAAAATACGGATAATTATAATTTAAAATGGTAATTTGAATATTTTTTTTAAAAAAAATAAAACTCCTTTTGAGTTCTGATCTAAGTGGCTCTTATTTTACCGCCTATATTTTTTTAAAAACTTTAAAGTTCCCAATTGACATATGTCCAAAGGAAGAGAACCCAATTCCGTTTTATAGAATGAGCGCCTTTTTATTTTAATATAGTTTTTATGCTTTTATATAAAATAATGTATATATTTATAAATTTAATTATTTTTTTTTTAAATATAATATATTGAAATTAATATTAATCGTGATATTTTATTTATGTATAATGTCTTAAAAATCCAAGGTTAAAATATTTTTAGGAAAAATATTAACTTTATTTTTTTTATTTATTTTTTAGGCGCCATATTTAAAGCAGCCTTGGTTGCCACTAATATCGTAGTTAACAAACCTTCCCATAATAATGCCGATACAAAGAATTCGATAGATTCTAAACATATTCTCTCACATGCTCTGATAGCGAAATTTGGAGGAGGATTTGAATTTTATTCTTGGTCAACTGTTTCCGAAGGCTCTGGTTAATTTTTTTTTAGCGTTTTATGTTAATATTAATAATTAATAAAAGATATATAATTAACCTTCTTAAATCCCAGGTTTTAATTAGTCTTTACAAAAATAAATTTACCAGTTAATATAAAAATAATCGTTTTTAATTTATTTATAAACTTTATACATCTATTTATTTATTTTGCACATCGTTTTAAAGCTTTTAATAATAAAAGCTCCTAGTGGATATTAAGTATTTAATAAAATATATTTAAATCCTTTTTTAATAGAGTTAATTGATAATAGTAACTAAATTATACTTTAAATTTTATATATTCAGGGTTAGGAACTAGCACAATATTAGCCTCTTGTATCATTGCTTTATTATGGACTCTGATTGGGAGAAGTTTCGACAAACAAACCTTATTATACCAGGTTTGTCATGTTATCATATTGAACCATAAATTTGTACAATTTTCTTTTATTGATAAATGACCCATTTATGTAGGTTCCTTTAAGTATTTGAACAATTTAATTATTCATTCATTATTTCATAAGTTTTATTTATTTTTTGAAAATTAGGTTTTGATGCTAGAACAAATACTTACCACGGGTGGTGGTTGGCAAGATCAAATGGGAGGTATTTACGGAGGGATCAAGTTGGGTTTATCCCTTCCAAAATTCCCATTCATGGTTCACGTTAAATTCTTGCAGCTGGAATATGGATTTATAAAGCAATTAAATGAGAAATTACTCTTGCTATACACTGGTAAATCTAGGCTCGCTAAGAATATATTACAGGTATAGTATGGCAAATTAGATAAAAATAATAATTAGTGATTTGTAGACTTTAAAAATACAGCATTTTGATCATTGAAAATAAATTTAAAGAGACATCTAAAAATATTAATTTATTTAAATGACGACCTTATTATGACTCTTGCTTATCTAATACATATACTGCCTATCCATTTTGACAAAAATAGATGTCGCACACCACCCCACTTTCTTTCTACCGAAATAAATTGTACCATATTGATTTAATTAGGTTTTTTAATACAATTATTTAACGTTGCCGGATTTAAAATAAATATTGTAAACAGCGTTCCGTTATCGGAAACGGTTAATTTACAGAATGGGACCGGAACGTTCCTAAAAAAGATTAATTATTATTTATTTCTATAATTAAAAAAAATAAAAATTTCTTGATTCATCTAACAGTTGCATATATTACGTTCTTTTTATTTTCATTTATAAATAAACATTAATCATATTAAACTATTCAATAAGCAAAGTAATAATAATTAGCAAACAAATAATAAATTAAAAAATAAAAAGAGGGGTTTTGAAGGATAAGGATATGATTAAATAGAAATGTTTCTAAGTTCCAAGGATAAAAAAACTTACAAAAAGGATGATATTCTATGAATTATAAAAAAAATTCAAAATCATAAACTTTTTTAGAATACTAAGGATCCAATATAAAAAATAAACTCCTATCCCGTATGAATTGGCCCAAATCGTATTAGAAGCTCCGTGTAGCCATGCAAGTGTTCAACGTTGTTTTTCGACACTCAAATTTATACTAAAGAACCAATATAAATGGTCGATATAATAATTGATTCAATTAATGATTAATTAAAATGTGTGGATTTCAAACAATTTTGATATTTTTATAGGAACGTTCCAAACGCTGGAATGGAACCGTAAACAGGAACGAAAAATTCCCTTGTTCCGGGTTCCTGGTTGTAAATAATCATCGAAATATTTTTATATTATGGTCTAGGAGGTGATTAGAAATTGGTACGCGAAAGATAATCAAATACTCAAGAATGTCAAGGATATATGCGCTAACGCTATGAACTGCTACAGGGCTTTAGTTTACGGTTAATAGTATTTTCATTTTATATTATTTCGCTCAAATTTTTGGGGTAAAAAAATATTTATGGCTTCTACCTTTTATATTTTATTACTTTTTTAGATGTTAGAGCCATAGCAGAATTACAATCATTTTTAAATTAATGGCGATGCTATAAATCATTATTTTTTAAATATTACTTTTACATTTTTTTAAACAGGAGATTTCCATTCCTTTGGTTTGTGCCTAAATATTTACCGATCCCAAAAAAGTGCCATGGCCCCAATGAGTTCCGAACCAAGATCCTTCAAGCGAATTCTCGATTACGTTGCCTCTCAGACTCTCGGGTCCTGTTTCTCAGGAGCTGGAGGGGGTGGGTTCTGCTATGCTATCGCCAAAGATTCATACGAAAAGCAAATAATGATAGACAATTTGAATAGCTTAAACAATTTAGAATTAGATAAAGCGCCACAATTGGAAAAAGAAAACCTGGATAGTTTACGTAAACTATGTATTTCAAAGAGCAAACATCTTAATGGAGATGGAGTAAAAGATGAAAATTTTTATAATGAAGATGTGGAAGATAAAATTTTAGTCTATAAAGTGTCAATCAATACTGATGGGCTAACTATCACCGTGATCTGATTTATTTATTACATATGCGTCCCTGATTTATATAAATATTTTCACTATTTATTGAAATAATTGTTTTTTTATATTTACATAAAATTATGCACTTAAAATGTGCTTGGTTCAATGCAACAATATTGTTCATAAACGAATAATATCATACCCTGATTTAATTAATTACGATATTGCAATAAAATTTAATGGAAAAAAGGACAAAAAAATGATTATTATTTCGGCAAAACGAGTCGAAAAATATTATATTTCCAAAATTATATTTAAAAAAAGTTATCAAACTGATTCTAAAATTCCACTAATAGGCGATTGGCTATCAAAAATAACCCTTCACTAGAAGCCGACCTTACCGGGGCTGGTAAACTTTTATTAGCCAATTTTCTCAAAAAGAAAATGAATTCCTGCTTCCAAAACTTCAAAATATTATCATTGTTATATGAGTTATGAATCTTTTAAATTCATCCTGACACATCTAGATGTTGATGCTTCATCAAAATCAACTAGAAATTTTCTTAATATTTTATTAAGAATATACGGTTTTTGTGTATAGGATGAATTAGAAAAGTTATAAATGATAATTGACATTGACTTATGCATATCATCAAATTTTATTAGCATTTTTTAGCTTTTAAATTTACCCCTTTTTTCTTCGTCTAATTAAATCTTTTGGAATTCAAATCTAGAATAAAGCCTACCCTTTGTAGTGGCCGCATAATAAATCTTCCTTTAAAACTATGTCCTGTTTTTGGGGGTTTTGATTATTATGGTATCACCTTCAAAAGGTTATTTTTACTAATCTTTGTTTCCATAGATAAACTAAATTATTATGGGACGAGAATCTGCATTCAGATTATCCAGGCATTCTTTGAAAATTGATTAAAATTTAGTAAAGATAAATAATATTGAAACATATTTAGATTAACAAATTTCTATTGCTGAACGAGAGTTGAGATATTTATTATTTTTCATTCATTTAAAATTTTATAAGATGGGAAAAAAAATGTTGTTTATAGAATGCGGAATTCAATAAAAAAAATTTAAAAAGGACTAAGTTAAATTAGAAATATATTATTATAATTATAAAATTCCAAATTTATATTGATATATAAACAATTTTAAAAAAAATTTCTGTGATTCACGGGAGATTTATGTTCACGGCCAGTCACGCCCGATAATATTTTGAGAAGGTCCGTGTTGCCTAATAATTTAAAATTTATTCACACTTACGCCATAACCTATTTTGTCACGCTTAATTTCGCGGCCTGCGCCCACCTCTAGTCCTTCCCAATACTACAATTTTTTTAATATTTTAAGACAAAAAAGTTTTCAGGTGATCGTGGATCCTCTTCTAAGATTATATTTATCAGTTCAAATTCCTCTGTTCCGAAGAAACTATAGGAACTCAAAGACGAAAAATAAAGAAAGAATATATAGTTTTTATTTCCATATTTTTAATATATCATATTTTATAAAATAGATAATGTGATCTTTCATTATTCTTTTATTTTTTTAATAATAAAAATCTATTACCCCATCTAGCGGATTTACATTATCATTAAAATTTATTTTTAGGTTCATATAACTTTTTTGAATAATATTTCCATTTAGTTTTAAATTTTAAAACCAATTAATTTTTTTCAAAAAACAATTTTTTATATATTTTAGTTATTTATTGGTTGTGAATTTTTAATTGGATAAGCTATCTAACATATATTCTATTGATAGAAATCAAATATATATGTGATATTTTGATATTAATCTTTTTTTGATAGATATTAAATCTATATTATGCTAGATTAAAAATTATAAGGATAATTAAAATTTTTGAACGAAAAAATGAGAATACTAATAATTAAATAGGCTAGGATTTCCAAATTAGTTTAAAAAAAAATTAGTATAATCATTTTTTATCTTTTTGGGGGTTTAATTTTATTTACATACTTTCAAAGTAATTTTTATATGAAAAATAGAACACTGTTTGAAATTATCTGAACCGACTTTGTTTTTTTATGAGTATGTATTATATTATGAGAATATTAGTTAATTAAATATAATTTATAATGATTAATAAAATATTGGGTGAAACTACCTAACACCCATAGCATCTATTATAATGTAATATGGATGGATCTATATATATTGTTATGGTTATATAAATAAATATTGTTTGATTTATCCCAGATATTATAGTCATGCGGCGATACACTTAAATTGAAAACAAAAATAAGTATATTATGATATCTTTCAAAATAGTCTAATTTAGACTTCCGTGTAACTGGCTTGTAATTTTGGGTCCAGACGTGTAACCAGGGGGTAGAAAATTCCCTCTCATCGAAAATTTGCCTATAGTCAATATCATTTAAAATCCCCCCCCTTCCTCCTAATGGATACAATATATCACTCATTATAAACAATAATTTAAAGAAGAAAAAAAAATAAATAACGTCTATAATTCAAAATTTTTAGGAATAATCAGTTTTACAAGAAGAAAAAAGTGAAAACTTAATATTATTATTATAAAAATATAACAAAGTCAACGTTCTGCAATAAACGGACCTAAAGACCTAGTATATCCCCACCCCTCTCATAGTAAATCCTGGATACGTCTTTGCATTGGTCTAATTTTATGGTAATAATGATTCCACGAAAAATAATTTTCACAAAAAATAATATGGTATTAATTTCCTTATTTTTTTCTACCACATTTTAAATATTTTGGCAACCAAAATCAACTTGAAAATTTATAGCTCACATAAATTTAGATAACTATTGTCATTGTTGAATAAAATTTCTTAAAGAATTTACATATTTAATGTGAGTAGTATAATTTAGATTTTTTTAGTTCATTAAAATTATAATATTATTAAATTTGAATATAATTGCTACTCTTACGGATAATGCTTCCAATTTTGTCAAATATTTAGGTGAAATAAATAATCTTGACAAGAATTTTAAAAAAAAATTTCTTTCATGTTTAACTTTATAGATGAAATAATACTAAGCATATCCACATTTTATCCTGGGGAATGCCCTAATCTTCAGAAAAGATAAGGATATTGAATTGCATGGTTTTGAGTATCATTGTAGAAACTAAAATTGCGAAATCTAAATATAAAAAAATTAATGATATGAAATTTAAAACAATAACATAATTTATGGTTTCTTTATTAATCTCTATTAATTATAATATAATAAATTATAAAGTAAAATATATTGAATTAACAACTTTAAAAAAAAAGGTAAAACTAAAAAATAAAGAAATATAAAAAAAAAGTCAAATTACATTAACCTCAAATATATATCTTTCCTTCATTTATAAATACAATAATATCGTAATAATCTGAATAATACATTTTTTTATAAAGGTATTTATTTGAATGGTATTCATTTGCATATTACAATAGTAATCAACTTACAGTTTCATGCATAACCAGGTGTTATTGCCTATACTATACGATAGTATGACTTCCTTCGTTGCTGAAATATAAAACATTTAAATTTATTATTTGAAACAATTATTGATTGTCTCATTTTTAAAGAAGCGAATATTGTTTATATTGAGGAATGTTGTAAGGTCTTAAGCCCTATAGCAACTGTATTAGACAAACTACAAGGGCAATGATAGCAGTACATTTTATTGAGAATCAGTGTCCATCATATCTTTGGTTAAAAGAGACTCATGTAAACACAAAAATTCAAGTTTGCAATATTTTTTATCTTATTAATAGTTGTTCAAGATAGTTTAGGTAAAACTTTTGGGAAAATGTTTTCCCATTATGATTAACATAATGAGGCTTTTTTAGCATCATTATCACGTTCATATTTATATTATATAATAAAGCCCTCCGAAGCAGCGCGAAGTAGGCAATAAGTATTTATTCATTTTACCAAATTACGCGGTTCAGGATAAGGCCTGATACCATGCTAATGGACCGCGTTAACAATTAGTTTAGGCTATGCAACAAAAATAGGGATTTGGGTTTTTATTAGTTGGTGAGAAATACTAATTCTACTAGACACCAAACCCCCATACATTGGGTAAATCCTAATAAATACTTAGAGCGATGTAGAATAAATTAGTAAAATATAAATTTAAAAAATTCCCCTTTAAGCATTTGAAAATTTTTTATCTGGGGTATTTTTGTCCGGTGTCTTTGTCCAATAGTACTATTGTCTATTGTCTTTTTGATCTTTCTGTCCAGAAAATTTATGTCCGATTTCTATCTACATCCTTTTCTTTTTAAGAATTTAGTTCCTGAAAGCGCTACTTTTTTCTAATCTATTGGCTAAATTTCATAGGCTTGATTAAGATCTTGCTAAGGGGGGGGGGCATAATTAGGTAGTTTTTCTTACATAAATTTTAAAGGAGATTTTTCAGTCCTCTTATTTTTGGCTATTTTATATTTATATAAAAATAATTCTGTGATTTCACATTTTTTTAATATAAAAATTCTTTTGAAAATTTTGAATTATATTCGTTATTTTAAAAGACTATTAGCTTTTAATAATTTTTTTCTGAAATTCCACCTTATGTGTTATATTAAAATATTTTTGAAGGAGAGAGAGTTGGATAGAGGGGGGGAGGGTTTGTTCAGAACTGGTCATTTTTTTAAAAATTACTAACTTTTTCTAATTTTTGTTTTAAATAATTGTTTAGGGGAGGGGAGGAGGGGGGGGGGCGGAGAAATTTTTTATTAACATAAAAATATTTTTATAAGTATAAATTTCCAATGGGAAAGGGGAAACCTTTGTACCTTTCCCTATGCCTTTTGTTGAATTTTATAAATATATATTTTAAAATAACGAATTTTAAACACTTGTAAAATTTAAATATATTTATTGATCGAATAATTACTAAAAATGATTATGATTGGCTAAACAAATAGAACCAAACATTGGTCCATTATGGAACCTTATTTTATTACATAAAAACTATATTTGAAACTATTTTTTTCAGGTTTTCGCGAAGGGGTGGGGGACCCCTCAGAATATTTCTGCCCTACTCAATTTTAACTATAAGTGGATTGAGGACATCGAATCCTATATTGAACTAGGGTAAAGTCTGAAAATATTCTCAAAATTAGATAATAAATTAAATAAAAAGAAACCATTGGCGTATGCAGCGGGGGGGGGGTGAGGG